ATTTCACAAGAGAACCAAACACAACAAGAGACGCTTCAATTCCATCCGCGATCAAGTCAAGGAGGGAGACATAGAGATTTGCAAAATACATACAGATATGAATTTTGCAGACCCATTGACTAAGCCTCTTCCACGATAAAAACATGATCAACACCAAGACCTCATGGGTGTTATGATCATTACTATGTAATCTAGATTATTGACTCTAGTGCAAGTGGGAGACTGAAGGAAATATGCCCTAGAGGCAATAATAAAGTTGTTATTTATATTTCCTTATATCATGATAAATGTTTATTATTCATGCTAGAATTGTATTAACTAGAAACTTAGTACATGTGTGAATACATAGAAAAAAATGGAGTGTCCCTAGTATGCCTCTACTTGACTAGCTCGTTAATCAAAGATGGTTATGTTTCCTGACCATAGACATGTGTTGTCATTTGATGAACGGGATCACATCATTAGAGAATGATGTGATGGACAAGACCCATCCGTTAGCTTAGCATAATGATCGTTTAGTTTTATTGCTATTGCTTTCTTCATGACTTATACATATTCCTATGACTATGAGATTATGCAACTCCCAAATACCGAAGGAACACCTTGTGTGCTATCAAACGTCACAACGTAACTGGGTGATTATAAAGATGCTCTACAGGTGTCTCCGAAGGTGTTTGTTGAGTTGGCATAGATCGAGATTAGGATTTGTCACTCCGTGTATCGCAGAGGTGTCTCTGGGCCCTCTCGGTAATGCACATCACTATAAGCCTTCCAAGAAATGTGACTAATGAGTTAGTTACGGTATGATGCACTACGGAACGAGTAAATAGACTTGCTGGTAACGAGATTGAACTAGGTATGATGATACCGACGATCGAATCTCGGGCAAGTAACATACCGATGACAAAGGGAATAACGTATGTTGTTATGCGGTTTGACCGATAAAGATCTTCGAAGAATATGTAGGAACCAACATGAGCATCTAGGTTCCGCTATTGGTTATTGACCGGAGATGTGTCTCGGTCATGTCTACATAGTTCTCGAACCCGTAGGGTCCGCATGCTTAACGTTCGATGACGATTTGTATTATTAGTTATGTGTTTTGGTGACCGAAGTTTGTTCGAAGTTCCGGATGAGATCAGGGACATGATGAGGAGTTTCAAAATGGTCGAGAGGTAAAGATTCATATACTGGAAGGTAGTATTCGGACATCGGAATGGTTTTGAGTGATTCGGGTATTTTTTTGGAGTACCGAAGGGTTACCGGACCCCCCCGGGGGAAGTGTTGGGCCAACATGGGCCTAAGGAAGAGAGAGGGAAGCCAGCGCGGGGGTGCACGCCCCCTCCTAGGGAGTCCGAATAGGACAAGGAGGAGGGGGCGCGGCCCCCTTCCCTTTCCCTCTCCTTCCTATTCCCTTTGAAGAAAGAAAGGAAAAGGGGGGCCAAATCCTACTCCTAGTAGGATCCCCCCCCCCATGGCACGCGCCCCCGGGCTGGCCTCCTCCTCCTCCCCTCCTTTATATACGGGGGTGGGGGCACCCCAAATACACAACCGTTGTTTCTTAGCCGTGTGCGATGCCCCCCCCCCCTCCACAGTTTACTCCTCCGGTCATATTGCCGTAGTGCTTAGGCGAAGCCCTACGCAGATCACATCACCGTCGCCGTCACCATGTTGTCGTGCTGACGAAACTCTCCCTCGACCCTCTACTGGATCAAGAGTTTGAGGGACGTCATCGAGCCGAATGTGTGCTAAACACGAAGGTGCCGTACGTTCGGTACTTGGATCGGTTGGATCGTGAAGACGTTCGATTACAACCGCATTAACCTAACGCTTACACTTTCGGTCTACGAGGGTACGTGGACACACTCTCCCCGTCTTGTTGCTATGCATCTCCTAGATAGATCTTGCGTGATCGTAGGATTTTTTTTTTGAAATTGCATGATACGTTCCTCTACAGCTTCGTCTTCCAGATGTCATAGATGCAGACCACAATCTGCATCCGCTCCTCGACTGCCTCCCAAGCTCCGCGACGATGTTGGAGCAGACGCCATCGCAACAGCGGAGCCCGAGAACACATGTCCACCACAAGGATGCCATCGCCCCCACGATGTTCCCAGTTCCTTCATCGACCATAGAGATGATCGCCTCGCCGGAGAAAAACCGGAGCTTCTTTATTCTGCATCGTCGTCGCTACCGTCGAAACCAGGACGTCAAACAATCCAAAACCCTAAGCTTCTTGGGCCCTAAACCTAATCACGACCAGTCTCTAAAGACCAAATCTAAATTAATAAGCCTTACCATAAGTCGCTCAATCACATTAATTAATCTTGCTATATGTCACAAAAAAATTAACATTACCGTACGTCGCCCAATCACATTAATGTGGCATGACACATCCTACCAAAATGTCATTGCACCACAATATCAATCTCCAACTTAATTAACTTTTTATAGTTTACTTATGACGCATGACACTGCCTACCAAATCTATAATTTGGTTCTTCCCGGCTGCCCCATGCCATATTAGGTCCAGACCTTCCCTTTATCCTACGAGCTGACATGGTCTCATCTTCAAGCTCGAAGAGAGTGATGGCAACCCGATACAGTCTCGGTCGCCCTGGCTAGAAGAGGGTGCAAAAATGTCATACTGCCAGACATAATTTGGTACAAATGTGACATTGCCTGAGATTAACATGAAAATCATGTTTACATCTGGTACATGCCATATAAAATATGAGGGTCTTTTATTATAATGTGCTATTAATTATTCTACGTTATGAAATTATAGATGTTGAGGTGTATTAATGCCCATGTTTTTGCTTGCAGAAGGATTCTCCGACAACATTCGGTGACCTCACTCCATTTAAAGAACTGTTGAACATAATTAACATTGACACAAGTGACATTAATCATATAACGTGTAAGTTTACTGCCTCAAGCATTGACACAAGAGATATATTTTTCTACCACCCTCAACTTCCCAAGGATTACATGAACATCCCTAAAAAAACAGGTTCCTATATACTAGGTTTCTACCTTGACATATCTTGTAACCTTTTGTGTCTCTGCTATTTTGTGTATGTAGCAATAATCACAAGTTATGCCCTTGGCTCTTGATTTTTCTCCTATGTAGTATTGTTGACAATAATCACAAGTTATGCCCTTGGCTCTTGGTAAATTTGGTGACCTAAAGCAATTTTAGGTAAATGAGATAGGAAGTGAGGAGAATCTTTTTTCTCTCTTCTCTAACGAATACATAAATCTGTACCACGAATCAGGCATGTGCGCACGAGGGAGGGAAGAGGGGAGAAACGTTGACGTTTTTCATCCTTTGGATGAACATTTCTATTCATGGCTTTCTTTTTTCGTGCAACGCATGAGCGTGGCGCCGTCATGGTAGAGCCCGGGATGAGGGGTGGGTCCAGTATAGAACCAAAAGGTACTCCCACTAAGATGGGAAGGCAGTTGTAGTCCTTGTTCCTTGTTGCTGGCCTGCCACAATGGCGCCGATTAGTGGCTCACTTGGAACCCGATTTAGTGAACTTTGTGATAAGAGTTAGGGTTGAGAGTGAGTGGGATGAGGGTTGGCGTTGGTCTGTCAAGTTACGATTGTCTGAGTGGAATAATTTCCCTACTTTAAAAATATGGCAAATTCCATTTTCATTAAAGATGGCTTTGCAATAAATTTTGCATGAGCGAGCGGTCCATATTTTTTCATCAAGTCGTACAATCTTTTATTATGATAGAAGGTAAATGCATTGGTTGGTTGCTTCAAGAGTTAATAATGGACATGGTGACGTATAAGTTGCATGCCCAACAATGGACATCAAGTTTTTGTTTAGTGGTAATGCATGATTCACCTGTATGTTATAACGTGGCAATGGCTTAGGAGACATCGGATATGCCTTCTTGGCTCGAGGGGTGTTATAGGTAGTGCACGCCTCCTCCCCCTTTGATGGCGGTGGCAGATTGGCTTGAACACGACAGGGATGGGGGCGTCAGGGCGGGGAGCGAGGCGGTTGGTTGGGGACTCCTCTTTGGTGGTCCGTGGGGAAGTAAATTATGAAGGAGAGAGGGGTCCATGACAAAAGTGAGGTGAGGGTCATCTGGTTTTAAAGAAGAGGACTCCAACGATGAATGTCCCGCTATGGCAAGAAACCAAGTGGGAAGCGAGGGCCTGGTAGAAAAATGGTAGGGTGCATCGTGGGGTGGGGGTTTTATGTTGGAACCGTGTGTGAAGATAACATGACGGATAGTTCGGACAACCACATTTCTCCTCCACATTTGGGATGGAATTGGGAGAGCCCATAATATCTAGACCGTTGAATTTTGGAAGCCTGCTGGGCGTCTCTTTGATGTCCGAGCACGTCCAGACATACAAAGGAGAAATGGGCTTCAACCTTGAAAATAACCTAAATTATATATTTGATTCATTTATAGACCCGTAGCAACTAGCAACGGACTTGTCGATTTGAAATGACATGATCCATCATGGGCTGCAACGGGAGTCAGCCTTGGGCTGCGACGGTTGAGGCCCGAAAGCATAATCATGGGCTTTGGTGTCATAATGGCCATTGGCCGAAGCCCCAAGGCCTAGGACCGCTGTAATGGGAGGACGGAGCCCTTCTGTAGCGACACGGCAGCGAGAACGACAGGGTGCCCGTGCAAAATCCCGTCCTCTTTTTTAAACGAGTTCTAGGCTTCCGCCGGCCGCCGCCACGGAGCCTTCCCTTTCCATTTGGAAGGAGCCCGAATCAGTCTAGGGCTTCCTCCCCCCCGCCGCCGGCGAGAGCAGCCGCCTCTACAACAAGACCTACCGCCCAACGTCTCAGCTCAGGTTAGTTTTGCCGCCTCCGCCGGTTCGCGTTCGACGCTCTGTTTCGCGCCAAAAGAGGAAGCACCTCCCCTGCGCCATTCGCGCCCTCGAGTTCGTCTCCCGGGCTAACTGAAAATGCTGGTGGCGCAGGTTCCGGCTCAGTTTTTCGACCCTCCCTCCATCCATGGCGCTCCGGTTCGAGGTCTGTCCAAGTTTTAATGGATAACATGTGCTTCGCTTTCTCTTCGAGATTTCATATTCTGTAGTTTTGTCCGTGCCATTTGATTACTGAGATTGAGATGAGAAGCAAATCCGGCGGTTTCTTTGTTCGGTCTGCGCAAATTGGAGTTTAGCTGAAGAAGTTAGTGGTGACGAAGTAGATAAGATTGTACCGCTTCCGTACTCTAGCTGATAAATTAAGATGACGTCTGGATGCGATGCAATGTCGTGTTCTACATAAATATATTGATCCAGATTATTTTCTGCAACCACAGACTCCCAATTAGGCTAATACTGTTTTATCTTAACACCAAATCATTATTGACTAGTAATACAGTAGTACTCCTACTGACCAGCACTCCAGAGTTAATGCACCTACTGCCCTAGGCACGTGTTTTTCAGAGTTACATATTGTCTTTACCTGGTACTGTATTTGGTGCCTTTCTTAAGGTAAAATCTTCATGTTTTCTTTCTTTATTACTCTTCAGAGGCTTATAGTCTTATAGTGGTCCATACCTCCATATAATAAGAAAAAGAATAAGGGAAATAGTTTGAGAAGTGGCTCCACGTGGTACATGCTCTCAGAATGATACAGAGAGATGGTACAGTGGCAGTGGCACCACTGCCAGCTCATATTGCTGCCTGTCAAACCTCATTACCTCTGTTGGACAAAATCATGGAGGGTGGCTGATCGAACCTAAGTTCTAGCAATCAGGAACATAAATATCAAAGTTTGTTTAAAGATGAAGCATTGACCATAAAGATGAATCTGGGGTGAAAATTATTTTGTTTTCTGCTTGCAGGTGTTAGGAAGATTTAATCGTGCTCGCGCAGCTCGGTTAACTCTGCCACACTTTACTTGTCAAACGCCACTTTTTATGCCTGTTGGTACCCAAGGTATTATATTTTTGGATCTCGTACCATTTCTCTGCCATATGCTAGTTCAGTCTGAAATGGAACCTTTTCTTGTGTAAAATATGAACTTGCTGTTTTTTTGTACTGTATAACTGAGATCATACGAGCAATTAGAGGTGACTTGAATGGATAATGTCGGATTTATACATGTGCTGATGAATAATGTTCTAGCATTGTCTTATTCATGGAAAATCAGAAATCCTTAGTTTCTATGTCTTAACTCTCCAATCTTCACTAAAGCAAATATCGACTTCAATAATAGTTACTATTCTCGGTTAACCCAGCTTGGCTGTACTTGTTTCCATCAAACTAGTTCAGTTTCATACTGTGATTAAGAGATTTTGGATGTGACACAAATTTGTCGAATGATGTGTGTGATTCTTGCATCTCACAATTATTCTTGTTTCATTCCTCTTTTTTTTTTCTTTTTCTTTTGCCCAGGTACAATAAAAGGCTTGACTACAGACCAGTTAGAGACTATAGGTTGTCAGATTATTCTTGGAAATACCTACCACCTTGAACTTCGTCCTGGCTCTCAACTTATTGATGACTTGGGTGGCCTTCACAAGTTTATGAATTGGAAAAGGGCATTGCTGACTGACTCTGGTGGTTTCCAAATGGTTGCTCCAAATCATTATTATCTATTTATCCTTTCACATTAAGTGTTCTAATTCACTATTTGAACTTGTAGAACTAACTCAGCTAAGTCAATACTCCCTCCGTCCGGAAAAGCTTGTCCCAAGCTTGTTTCTCAAATGGATGTATCTAGCACTAACTTGATGCCAGATACATCCATTTGAGGGACAAGTTTTTTCGGACGGAGGGAGTACTAAATAACATCTGTCATTTCAATTGTACATGAATCTTACTGTACTCTACTTTAAATCGTGTGTGATAATTGTTGATTTCTGGCAGTGGCTTGATGATATGCGATGGCTAATATTTCTGTTTGGTTCTACCAGCAATTAGTTGCTCTACACATCAAATCTTGGTTCCACTTTTGAGCAAAATTTGAAACATGTAGTTGTTTGCTAGATATTAAATGGCCTGCTGAGTTCCATCTGTGATCTTTACATTAGCATGGTTCCAGTCAAATATCTATTTAAAAGTGGAGAGCCAGCGTTTGTTGGAATATTACCATTGGCATGATCACTTATTTATCTTAGCGCCCCTTTCAATTATTTAGGTTTGCTTCTGAAATGTTACTAATTTGTCAACATGGTTTTAGGTTTCTTTGCTGCATTTGGCTGACATTACTGAGGAAGGAGTTACATTTCAGGTACCCTTTACAGCTACCTACTATCTCATACACTTGTTCTTCATAAACACAACTTCAATTTGGTTTCTTACTTTTGTAGCATGAATATCCTATAGTCAGATTAAATTAGGGTATATATTAGGGTAGGGCACTGTTTTTGATTCTTGGTTCGTTGAAATAATGCCCATATTTGTTATCATATGGTAACAAAATAATTAGGCAGGTTCAGGTTGTTTTAGGGCTGGCAAGTATTAAGATTTTACTTTTTCATCGTAAAGCTGAATTGTTATTATTTAAATGTCTTTCTATATAGTACATTTTATTTTCTGAATTGTATTTTCATTTTCCCATGTAATCTTGTTATTTTCAATTGTGCAACTAATATGACAAGGTGAATAGAAATTCAAGTGGTCCTGTGAGACTGATGTACAATTAACTGATGGTATTGTTAGTTGGCAGATATTGAATAATGAATAATCAAGTGTCATGTTGCCGCATTTTGTCATCATGTACAATGTCTAATGCTATCCTTTTTCTAGTCCATCTACTATGTTGATTTTCATGTTGATGCTAAAAGCAGAAAGTTTCTTTAGCTTTCTTTGTGGAAATGGAAATGAATTTCCCCTGCATTTCATGATGCATTTTTACTTGTTTCTCTCGGTCCCTCGATAAACTTTACTGCTGCGGAGAACTGCTTTCTGTTTTGAACATTCTCTAATTTTATTATTCTTCTGTGTACAATCTACAGTCACCTGTTGATGGGAAACCCATGCTCTTGACGCCTGAGGAATCAATCCATATTCAGGCATGTCCTTTCCTTGACGAACTTTTTCGTTGAGTCACTGTGAACTAGACTTCTGCTATCAAAAAATCCTGATTTTACACCTTAACACTTGTGTGCCCGTCCTTCATATTTCTGGGACATGAATGCAGAACAACATTGGAGCTGATATAATCATGGCTCTTGACGATGTTGTTAAGACAACAATTACCGGCCCGAGGATAGAGGAAGCTATGTATCGTACCCTTCGTTGGATTGATAGGTGCATAGCTGGTATGGTTATTAGTCTTGTGACTCTTGGCCAAATTGTATACTCATCTGGTTTTGTAATCAACTATTTCCCATCTTCAAGTTAAAGCTCAGCATCATGTCACTCACTGCCTCTACTTATCCTATGGCTTTAAGATGTATCGAAGACCAGTTGAAACTGCGAGAAGCATGGTTAACTAAAGTCTGGTATTTTTTTTCTTCCAATGTTACATGTAGCTCACAAGAAACCTGATGTTCAAAACTTATTTGGGATTGTGCAAGGAGGATTAGATCCGGTTCTGAGGTTAGTTTATATGGCTTCTTGTAGTACATGCATGAAAGGTACGCATTCATGCAATCAATGCAGTTTGATAAGTTACTTTGCAACTCTTGTAATTCCAGAGATATTTGCGTGAGGGGCTTGGTTGAGCGGAACCTTCCTGGGTATGTCAGACTAAATATTCACCCATAAATTCCATGCACAATTTTCTTATATGCAGCCAAAAGACCTTTTTCGTTTTTCCATGATCTCCAACATCTGTCACATACTTGAAAAGTTAATCCTTTTTAATATGTTTTTTGTATTTTCCACGAGTCCCTGCAATTCAAGAGTTCAGTGGCTCAAACTTTGAATTTCTTGTTGCTAGATATGCCATTGGTGGTCTTGCAGGTGGTGAAGATAAAGACTCATTTTGGCGTGTTGTTGCCCAGTGCACCGCTGGATTGCCTGAAGATAAACCACGATATGTTATGGTAAGTTATAAACTTCTCAAATTGCTCATGCTAAGCCGATTATAGATTGTGCTTGATATGATTCACCCTTGTTTCAGCTTTCAACAACTCAGCACGCAGAACTTGTTTGGTTAACGGTTGCTGTTTTTCTGATATGCAGGGTGTTGGTTATCCACTTGATATTGTAGTATGCAGTGCTTTGGGTGCAGATATGTATGACTGTGTCTATCCAACACGCACTGCTCGCTTTGGGAGCGCACTTGTGCCTGAGGTAGGAAAATTCTGTCCCTGACAGCCCTATGCAATTCAAGCTGGGTGAAGCATTTTATTCTAGCACTGATATATTTCAGTCTTTTGGCATTCAAAGAACTTATCTTACATTAGCCTGATATGGGTAAGAACAGTAACATATGCAACCATAGTCCATTCGAAATTCTGAGATCACATCCTCTGTGCTTTCCTCACTCAGCATTACTGTAGCGAACTCACATGAGAGGTGTGTCCGTGTGAGTGAATGGGAGGGGATATTGTTTCTTCTAGAAACCCCATAAGCTGGACTTGCTGATAAACCATTTGATGGTGTTGCAATGGGGACCCTGGCATTTATGCTTGTTGGGTATACTGTCTAAATTAACTGTGCTTGTTGTAGAAGCAGGCACATTTATAGCAGGTTTAGGCTTTAAGCTTATGTTAAGATAGTCTTAATTTCTAAGTTGGTGCTAATCTAGTTTATCTACCCCTTTAACTTTAATTCCCGTTGATGATTTATTAAACTTATTTTTTTGTGCATCATCTTAGGGTGTTCTGAAGTTGAAACAAAATGCAATGGCAACTGACGAACGGCCCATTGATCCTTCCTGTCCATGTATGGTATGGCTTCAACAACACTAAGAACAAAGTGGTAAACTGATTGATATATAATTACAATCTTTGGAGTTCTGTAACATGGTTGTCTTGTTGTTCAGGTCTGCAAAAACTATACCCGTGCATACTTGCATTGTCTGGTCACGAAAGATCCTATGGGTTCTCAACTGCTGTCATATCACAATTTATCATTTATGGCGCGGGTATCCTGTCATTTTTTTTGGCTGAGTTCATTTTGAGCACAGTTGGCTATTGTTTGATCACTCTCATTTCTGTTTCAGTTAAGTAGAGATCTCCACATGTCGATTCTTGAAGGGCGATTTCCAGAGTATGTTGTCTCATTCGACATAAATCTGCCTGATTATTCAGTTAAATTGTGTGCTGTTAAATTACGAAATTCTGCTGACATGTTTGCAGATTCGTGAGAGGATTCTTGAGGGTGCAGGTTTGTCTTGCTCTGCAATCTCTGTTCTATCATATATGATTGAATAAAAAATAGCTGAGCAACAAACTGCCTACTTATACCATCGCCACCAATCATCTACAGAGCTAAAACCATACTCTTGTCTTGTTATTATCTTTCTTAGTAGTTTGTGTTACCTGTAAACACTAAAATCATGATGATGGCAGTTCCCAAAGGGCGACGTGCCAAAGTGGGTTCACAATGCAATGGAGGTTGCTGGCATCGACATATCGGAGTGCTGCACCCCGACCAACTGCCAGCACGACGCAATGGAGGCTGCTGGCGTCGACATTTCGGACTTCTGCCCTCCCACCAAATGCCCCTGACGCGGAATGCTCAGGGGCATTCATTACGGATACCACGATACCGGTTGACTATAGGGGAGGGTTGTCGCGTGGAAGTGATCCCTCATACTTAACATGACGCGTTTTCACGAGGTTTTTTTTGGGTCATAGACTGTAGGCCTGGCTCTCATCCATTGCTTCAGCATAGAATTTTCCAACAGTATGCTGAAGTCAGCCGCCCATAGGTTTTGATAGTCTCCAAGGTGTTATAGTACGTATCTGTCATTGATTGTTTGCAAGCTGCTGCAAATGTTTTTGCTGCAAGGACAGTCCACGGGAAGTTGTAACAGCATCATTATTTATACTCATGAAAATTGTTACTGTGACGCAGGTCATTTTGTTTCACTGAACATGGCTTCTCGAGACTTCACACTCTTTGTCCAAACTCTGGTCTTCCTCACACTCTTTGTTGGCTTGAATGTGTATTTTGTGGATTTCTTTGTAGTGCTTAGGGTTTGTTGGTGGTCCACTGGCAGGTGGTTTTGCAACTCTGTCGGTTTCAAGGCATGGAAAATGTCGCGTGGGAAATGTGTGCGATCTTCAGGAAAATGACCTGGCTGGTCATCTGGATCGTCCATTTCTCATCGGACGGCGGACAGGGCTGGCAACCAGTATCTACTGGCGCCACGTGTCGGCTCCCTGCTGGCCGTCGCTTCCCGTCAAAACGCGATACCTCGCGGGATCCACCACCGGTGACGAGGCTGCTCAGCTCAGCTCAGCCGCACCGCACGGGTGAGCACCAACACAGATTCCAGCGACTGCGACTGGTCCCCACGCCGAGCCCTAGTATCTCCCGAGAAAAACGTGGGCGACACAGCGCTGCTCCTTCGGCCGCTGCCAGGTGGGTCCATCCCGGAGGCCCAGCACACGGCCTCACATGTCAGCGGGTGAAACCCGCAAGGCGTTAGTATCGCAGATTCCGCCGTTAGTATCTATGCTAAAAATGATTATTTCAAAAAGCAGCCATTACAAGTCGATCTCCGGGGACTGAATTCTGAAACCACCGCCCGCCTCTGCTCCTGGACCGCTCCGCCGCCGTCCTCCCGCCGCCGGCGCCGATGGAGCGCCTCCGGGTCGCCGTCTCCCACCGCCCGCCTCTGCTCCTCCCCGCCCCGAACCACCTCCGCCGGCGCCAGCTCCACCTCCCCCTCCCGCTCGCATCCCGCCCCCTCTCTTCGCGGCATCGCCTGCTCTCCCCCGCCCCTCGCCGCCACGCGCGGCACCTCCTCGCCTCCCAAACGCCCGGTCCCGAATCCGGCCCCGAGCCCGACGCGGAGGCCAGCGCTGAACCCGCCGGCGCCAAGCTCGTCCCGCTCATCGTCTCCCTGGCGGCCGGCCTCGCCGTGCGCTTCCTGGCGCCGCGGCCCGCCGAGGTGACCCTGCAGGCGTGGCAGCTGCTCTCCATCTTCCTCTCCACCATCGCGGGGCTCGTGCTGGGCCCGCTCCCCGTCGGCGCCTGGGCCTTCCTCGGCCTCACCACCGCCGTGGCCACGCGGACGCTCCCCTTCGAGACCGCCTTCTCCGCCTTCACCAACGAGGTCATCTGGCTCATCGTCATCTCCTTCTTCTTCGCGCGAGGCTTCGTCAAAACCGGCCTCGGCGACCGCATCGCCACCTACTTCATCAAGTGGCTCGGGGGCAGCACGCTGGGGCTCTCCTACGGGCTCACCGTCAGCGAGGCCTGCATCGCGCCGGCCATGCCCAGCACCACCGCCAGGGCCGGAGGCGTCTTCCTACCAATCATCAAGTCGCTCTCGCTCTCGGCAGGCAGCAAGCCTAACGACCCGTCGTCGCGGAAGCTCGGCTCCTATCTTGTGATGACCCAGTTCCAGGTAAGTGGTGTAAATTAATTTTCATTATTCAATGCTGGTTTGATGAACTTGGTGCTGGTAATTTGGCCATAGAATAGATCGATCGTACAATCCTGTCATTATAGGATTCTAACAAATGAATGCGCCAGACGCTCAGTTGCTAATTGTCACAACACTTGAACTCTTGAAGGGTGCATTCCCCCGGCCGTTTTTGTTTCAGAAAGGGTTCAGTGCTCAACTGCCGATCGTGTTACCTTGATTATATTAACCTCTTGTGGAGCGGTGCTCTGCACAGGTTGAAGGTGGTGCAACATTTCTTTGTTACTGATTGGGTGGTGTGGGGTGTTAGCATGATTTTCCTAGGCGCAATTAGTGCAAGAACCTGTAATCCTATATGCGTCAAATCGATGCTTGCTTGGTCAGAAGTTATTTAGTGTACACCCCCCAGTGCTGAAATTAATTTTGGAGCTCTAGCATGTCAGTGTGTTATTTTGTGCATTTCAGTTTCGTGATTTCTCAACAGCCTTTCTAAAGGGAGTATCCTATCAGTTGGAGGATTCTACGGAGAAACTAGAGTAGTGCATTGTTCACCTGATTCCTGATTCCTGACAACATTATTCAGTAAATTGGTGAAGTTGAACTGAAGAAAACTTATCTGGAAATAAAAAGTGACAAACAGTTAAACACAACAGGCATGGTTGAAATATGAAACCTAAGCTTGGTCCATATCGTAGGGTTTACTAAGGTAAGCCACTGGGAGGTGCGAATCAATCTGATCAACTGTAAGACCCAGGCCAGCCATTTTAGTCTAACTTTCGTCTAGAGCCTATTTACAGGTTTAAATTATAAGTACGGAGTATTTGTTTTACTGGATAATGATGATAACATTTCGTGCATGGAGAATGATGACCATGAGATCACTGATGTAGGAAATAGATGGAGGTGTTAGGAAGAAGGGTGCCTTCCATTATAAAACCAATGCCAACCATCCTAAATGGAAAGTATACTGATGATTTCTTAAAACCGTTGTGCTCGAAGTTAACCATCCTAGCAGGAAAGCTACTAAACCATGAAGATTTTGCTTCTTGCTTGCATCCTATCTTAACCAAACAGAACCCAACCTACAAGTAACAATGCAAGAGTGAGGTTAAAGCCGTTTTATCTACTGGCCTAGCCTTAATTTGTTGTAAACAACAGTGATGCTCTAGAACTTCCATGGTATGTGCAGTTTCAACTCTAATAAAGTTCATACGTGACTGACTAATTAAATTCATCCAGCATTTCTTACAACATAACTATTATGACGTCTTGAAAAAACATAACTATTATGCTCTTTTGTTTCTTGGCAGGCAGGTAGTAACTCAAGTGCTCTCTTCCTGACTGCTGCAGCACAAAATCTGTTATGCTTGAAGCTAGCAGAGGAGCTTGGTATCGTAGTTGCGAATCCATGGGTGTCATGGTTCCAGGCTGCTAGTTTGCCAGCTATTGTGTCTCTGCTAGCAACACCATACTTGCTATATAAAATCTTCCCCCCTGAAATAAAGGACACACCTGAGGCCCCAGCTTTAGCTGCAGAGAAGCTGGAGCGCATGGGCCCAGTGACCAAGAATGAGTGGGTTATGATTGGTACAATGATTCTTGCAGTGTCATTATGGGTTTTTGGGTAAGCTTCTATGTTAGTACTAATAAAGTGCCCCATAATATTGACCTGTAGTATGTCATGCGGCTTGTGGTGTCTTTTACTATGCTGTTTTCAGTTTGCAGTGTTGATTGAGATTTTCATAGGTTAGTGCTTCCTCTAAATTGACTACATTGATCTATCAATGTGATATACTGTGTAACTGACGGGAAATTGTGGGGAACTCTTGCTTCAGAAAGAAATTTTTGTTCTACATGTTCATTTCAAACGCCACCTTATTCTGCTTGTTTATTTTTAGTTCCCTTTAGTATGTTATAGAAATACGATATATCTGATGACCAGAACCATGAATCAGACAGAGCATCAGAATACCATTTACTCCCTCCGTTCCTAAATATAAGTCGTTGGGGGAGTGTAAACTGAACTCCCCCAACGACTTATATTTAGGAACAGATGGAGTACAAGATATTAGGCCTTGTGCCCTAAATTGCTCTGCATCACATATTGTCTGAATTGGACTATTGGTCATGATGTCTCACTGCGTAATCCATTTCACAATATCTGTGCAGGGATGCTATTGGTGTATCTAGTGTTGTTGCTGCAATGCTTGGACTCTCTATTCTTCTCCTGCTTGGTGTGCTAGACTGGGATGATTGCTTGAGTGAGAAGTCAGCATGGGATACACTCTCCTGGTTTGCAGTTCTAGTTGCGATGGCCGGACAGCTCACAGACCTTGGAATTGTGTCGTGGATGTCAACTTCTGTCGCCAAGCTGCTTTCATCTTTCTCATTGAGTTGGCCTGCAGCTTTTGTTGTTCTTGAGGCCTCCTACTTCCTCGTTCACTATCTATTTGCGAGTCAAACGGGGCATGTTGGAGCTCTATACTCTGCGTTTCTGGCTATGCATGTAGCAGCTGGTGTTCCTGGTGTGCTGTCCGCACTTGCTTTGGCATTCAACACAAATCTGTTTGGCGCACTAACACACTATAGCAGTGGGCAAGCTGCGGTATATTTCGGAGGTACGCAGATTCATTTTGTTTCTGTATTTTCAAATGGAATTTGCCTGCATTTGCATGTGGCTGTAGATTGACATACAGGCCGGAAAAGGCAAAAAGAAAAATACCGCAGATAAACATGTAGAATTAGAAAAACAGTTAATTTAGTTTATGTTGTGTCGATCGTCTTTATATATCTATATATCATGCTAAAACAGTAAGTCTGCTGATATCGATAAGCTCACATAGTCAGTAACCTGTTGCTTTCCTTCCGCAGCGGGGTACCTGGAGCTTCCAGATATATTCAGGCTGGGCTTTGTAACAGCCCTGATTAATGCTTTGATATGGGGAGTTGTTGGCACCTTTTGGTGGAAATTTCTGGGGCTCTATTGACAGTAGCTGCACTGTAAGTCGACCAAAGACTTTCCTTTGGAACTCACTGAACTGTCCGAGGTTCCGGAATGATCTTCTTTTGCGGAATGATCTTCCTTTGGTGGTCTGTTGATGATAGGGAAATGTAACAGATTGTCTGTGTCAA